CTCTCTCTCTCTCTCTCTCTCTCTCTCTCTCTCTCTCTCTCTCTCTCCAATCTACTCAAATCCCTATAATGTCTGGATATGATTTTAGGGCTGACCGCTTATTAAGAGCAGCCAATAAGGAGAATCTTCACTGGGAAGACTATCTTCTGCCTATCTCAACATTCCTCTGTTGCCTGTAATTTCTTTCTCTAGGGTTGGAGGCTTCACAGATTCTCCTCCTTCCTCATTAGTACATTAGCCTGCTGCTGGTATCATCCTTGTTCAGGTCTTGTGTAGGCATTTATGTTGATGAGACCTGACCAGTGTAGCTTCCCTGACATTGCTGGTCTCACGGCAGACATCACATTCCTCTGGCCCTCGTATATCCCTATTGTACTTCTTATTCTACATCTTTCCTGTTTGGCTGTAAGCTACTTGAAAGTGAGACTTGTGTGTCATACTTGGTTTTCCAGCAACTACTCCATCCAGATTCCAAAAGTTAATGATCAAGCTGAACACAGTTAACTTTGGCTCTAAGTCATGAAAATTACTATTTGAACATTATTTACAATTCTTTTTTTTATCTTTAAGAAAATCAATTTAATCATTTGATCAACAGATTATATCATTGTTGAACCAATACACTTTACCTTTAAGATCTATTGTAACATCCTGGCTTCTGGGCTCAAAAACATGACTCTTCAGCTCTTGAATATATTTTATAATTACCTTTATAACTTTTAATTAGAAATTAAAATTATTAATGCTTGCTAGATCAAGAGCTTTCTGTTTTCCTTCTCCTTTCTTCTTGTTTCACTTCAGACACCACTTGTTTGATATGTTTGTTATACAGCCTGACAGCAGACTTTAGAAATTGCCCTGATAATCACAAATCTTGTGTGTAGTTACATATCTATATTATATATCTATAGAGAATACATAATAGACAATTATCTATTTATAAGTAGATAATTGCATATCTATGGGAAATGGGTAAAGAAACAAGCTGACTGATAGTCTGAAGAGAGTAGGGGTGAAGAGATTCTGTATAGTGAACTGAGCTCTCCACCCAGACCTCAGGAGCTCTTGTTTTGCCTAACTTTGAGAAATAGTGTGGCTAGACAGAGGCTCAGGATTTACTTCCTAGTTCTCCAGCAGGTAGGGAAGGCCAGGCTGCATACTGAAAACATATGGAAATATAAAAGTATGTTGCTTTTCACAGGGTAAACCTTGTCAATTAGATACGATATGTGCATAAACACATAAACCAAAATGTGAACCGGAAGAGCACAGAAGAGGGTTCTCATCTGTGACTGCTCAGTGGCAGTTACACACATGACTGTTGGCAACTCTGCCCTGAGTCAGGGCTGCAGGAATCTATCATTCTGAGTGAGGTAAACCCAATCACAAAAGAACACACATGGTATTCACTCACTGATTATTGGATATTAGCCCAGAACCTTGAAATACCCAAGACTCAACTCACAGGCCACATGAAGCTCATGAAGAAAGAAGACCAAGTGGTGGGTGCTTCAGTCCTTCTTAGAAGGAGTAACAAAATACTCAAGGGAGCAAATATGAAGACAAAGTGAGGGACAGAAACTGAAGGAGGGGCCATCTGGAGACCATTCCACCTGGGTATCCATCCCATGTGCAGTCACCAAAGGTAGATGCTGATGTGGAAGTCAGGAAGTGCGTGCTGACAGGAATCTAATTCAAAAGGGATTTCTATGTGGCGCACAGACATCAGCTGAGACACTCTTTGCTCCACTTCAGGCTTTGTGCTACCGTATTCCTAATCACTGTGTCAAAGGATTGTGGTTTCAAAGGTTATGTAACTTTCCACAGTTCTACCTTTAAAAACTTCCCTTCACATCAAAATAAAAATTTTAACACAAACATAGTGTCTTATGATGCAAGTACAGCAACATTATAATCTCGTTCTTTGGAGATTTTCTGAATGTTACTTAGCTGGTCACCATACACAAAATACACTTTTATTCTAATTTCTAGACTTGGTTGTTGTACACATGATAATAGTAAATAAATTCTTGAAGAGAACTAATAAACCTTCCCCAGATTTGATCTCTCTCGAGTCTGGGCTTGGTGATTCTTACAGGTTGGGGATTAAGTCTGCCATGGGGGCCACCACACCTCAGATCCTGATATACCAAGCATCTCCTGAAACGTATAGATGAGATGACTACTCTGGGCAATGGCATTGCCTCCTTCCCTCCTTTTGGAGTCCAGAGTAGCCTTGCTGTGCTCCCAACAGTTATCTCTCATCTTCCCTACCATTTTCCCCACCTATAGCTATACTTGCGAACTACAACATGGGGAAGGGGGCAGGCTGACACTTCCTAGAGACATTCAAATGTTCGATGGAAGCTCAAGCTGACCTGAGAGAAGTGTGTATATCTTCTGGGAATCAGTGTTGAGTGAAAAATCATTCTTGGGTTTTGTTCATTTGAGTAACTATTTTTTAATGAATGTGTACACTTTATAGACTCATGGTTTGCTTTGAGAATTGAATATATATCTATATATCGATATAGATATCTCCTAGATTCAAGAAAATGATATTTTTTTCAATAACTGAAAAAAGGCAGTATTTTCCCATGAAACTACTCTAATTATCCTTATTTAATATGAATTTACTTTGAACTTTGAACAAGAACATCTCATTAACACTAAAATATATGACTTCTAATATTATATATGTACATGAAAATATATTATATTAATGTATTATAATATTATATATGTATATATAATATTAGAAGCCATAAAGTAGAAGTCATATAGAATTAGGCATATAGATATAAATACAGATCTAGATCTAGATATACATATGCATTTATTGTATCCTTCTGCCTAGAGAGATGACTACCCTCTGAGAACAGGAACACTCATTCATTCATATTTCTACTTGTGTCTACAGCAGCCAAAGGAACAAAATAAAGCAATCAGTCAAAGAACTGAATAGACGTACTCGACACTCATAAATGCATAAAGTTACTTTATTTTAAGTATACATTTAATTTTGAAAAATATAAATGCTAAAATATCTCATCTTCTTCATCTCTTAATTCCATAAAAGTCACAATAGAAAGCTTCATAAAACTGTAAAATACTATGTTATAGGAATTTTAGGTTTCATATTGGAAAAAAATTATTAGTAATATATTGAAATGTTTTCTGTTCTTTATCATTTTGTTCCACCATGTTGATCTACTTCATTTAAAATAAAAAGATGCATCATTTCTCCAAAGTTAATAAAGACTTAAGAGAATAAAAATAAGACTACCTGAAAGTGCGTACTGATTGTGAAACGTAATGTGTACGGATATGTACCAGCCATAAACTTGGCTGCACAGAGGCAAGTCTGCAGTCAATGTGCATTGTAGGCCTGGGACAAAGTTACTTCAGGCTCTAAGGATTCACTGGGTGACTTTAGCCCTGAGTTTCAGTATTTGCCTAGGAAACAGAATTCAGGATTCTTATGTATCCACAGAGCACAATGAAATGAGCCAGGAATAAGATAGATCCAAATCTCTGGTCAAAACACAGCCCACCACATTCGCCTATATTACAAAAGGGTTTTCACGTCAGGCTACCAGGAAGCTTCATAAAGTCATCTGAAAACTCCCCAAGGGCTGTTTTCTGTCTCCAGTCGCTTCGTACCAACTGGGCTTCAAGCTCCTGCAGTGAGAGCAGATGGCGAATATCACAGAATATAAAGAAGAAAATCTCAGGTCCTTGCACCAAAATCGTGAAGTGGTATGAGAAAAAAAAAAAAAAGATTGAAGAAAACTTTGTCCCATTCCTGATCAATGCCAACCTCTGTAATATAACTCAAATGGTTTTTTTTTTAAAGATTCTCAGCAGTCAATACATTTCAAGTACTTTAACACAGTTAAAACAAAAGAACCAAAAACATGGAAGACAATCATTTGCTATATTAAACAGCAACACGTAACTGACAAAGGATTTACTCTGTGTGTGTTGTTACATGTGCCCAAAATGCACATAAGCCAGATTACTGACAACAGACAGCCCTTTCTCTTCGGTGGGGGATAAGAAGGAAGGTTTGTGTCTTCTCAAATGAGTACTTCCCGGCCCCACCCCTCGGCTTTATCAAGAGAGGCTGAAACAACACTGCCTCTGACATACAAAACGATTAGTAGTTTCTGCACACAGTAGGAAAGGGCCAGCATCTCTGCAAACTGGAGGCCTCAATGCTTCGACAAGCAGGCTCCACCTGAGTATCTTCTTTCTCCAGCCAGTTTGCACTACCACAGTACTCCTGGCCAACAACTCTGAGTCTTTGCTTCAAGAAACACTTATCTCCAAATTCACATCCAGGGAGGAAGGGTAGAAAGGCATTACAAAGAATCCATTGCTGTATTTGTGTCCACTTTACACAGAAACGAAACCACCATGAATTCTGCTTAGTTGTCGGCCAATAAGCGAATTCAGACAGATTCAGATACTGCGGGGGCATCCATGGAGATCTGGGGTTCTGCTTGTTAGTGTGGGAACTACAGTGGTAATGAGAGCACTTGTTGTTAACTATTCCTGTAGCAAATGTAAGCCATGGCTTTATGTTCATTCCATGAATACTAACGTCCAGTCACAGATGAGGGACCATATACGGGGTGAGATACCTTCAAGATCTACTCAAGGACTAAAATCATGACTTATCCCAGGAGCTCTCTGAAAAGTAAGAGGAGGACCATGAGTCCCTAGATAAACTTAATTCATAATTATAGGCAAATGTGATGTAGAAATGTATCATTTGAGATGTTAACAAATAACATATAAGTTGCTGCTATCATTTCAACGAACACGATAACAACAGAATAAAAAAAATTTGGGGGGTCATTTATGCCTAACTTCTTTAAAATGTAAAGTTTTGAGATGACCAAATGCCATAAAAGTACATCTAACAGGATAATAAAACTCTTATCAACATTTCAGGAGAGCGGGATTGTATTTTAGTTCATGTAAGACAGTGGGAGTCTGTAAGAACCAACCACAGAACCAGTCATAGTACCTGGTTCCCTTCTGCTTCTCCAACTCTCCCAGCAATCTCCCACAGTGAATGTATGAGATCACAACTGTTGCTATACAAATCCAAAAATATGGATTCCACATCCAAACTATTATCTTGATATATAATCAGTATATAACGTAACTTACTAAAAATATTGCAATCAAATGCTACATTTAATTTGGCTAAGAAAGGTCTAATTTTTCAACTCGGTCTATTGAAGCACACAGATACACACATACATGTGTTTTAATAGCCTTATCCCATGAGTGCATGTAAATGAGCACTTTAAACTTTCTTGGCAGATCTGTGTGCATTCCTACACCACAATACAGATGTATGACGGGTCTGTTAATATTCTTACAGCTTTTGTATTGTAGATCTCGACTGTTGTATCTGTGATGCTGACTGATATCTCAGTAATAATATATATTCACCCGGATGTACAAGATACATTTCTGGACCTCCTGATAGAGTTCTCATAAGTGGTTTTGGATTTTATGAAAAATGGACACAAGGAGCGTGACAGCTTTGCCCTCTGGCTGTTGTCACTCTATCTGGCTTTGCACAGGTGTGCAACCACCACACACAGAGTTCTTACACAAACACACTAATTATTAAAAGGAGGAAATCCCTAACAATACTGCATAGGACGTCGACAGGTAACACACCAGCATCTGTTGCCAGCATGGCCATCACTGCAGCAGAAGTGACTCCTGCACACAGTTCTCTCTCTTCCCCAGATTCCTTCACAAAACAGCTACATTTATTTTGAATAAAAGGGGGAGTAACAACCCAACAACCCAACAGATTCTTAGAAACATGGTGTTTTGTTTTTCTTTTAATTTGTTCTAGCCTTCTGGCTTACCTTAGAGTGGTGTGTGTGTGTGTGTGTGTGTGTGTGTGTATGCACGCGTGCTCATGTGCACGCACGTGTGTAAAAATCACATTATATACAATACAATTTTTTACAGAAAGCCTGGCAGCTACAGGTAAGAGGTAGAACTACTCAAAACTATGTTTCCTGCTGCAGGAAAAAAATTCATTTTCTTTACAGTAATTAAAAAAAAGTTTAAAAAATTGACAAAAAATAAGTTGCAGGTTAGGCCCCATAATTTAAACAACAAAATCTAGGAAGAAAAATATTCTTCAATGTACTCAACAGATAAGTTCATTAAAGGGTTAAAAAAAGTTGCATAGGAAAAGGGACATTCCAGCACTTGCTACAATGATGGCAAAGGTTTCTCTACAGGGAGCAAAGTACCTTTAGTGTTTTCTGCTTTTGATAACTCTAAGATCAGGGCTGGCGAGCAAGGGCAGGTTGGTAGCAGCTCTTTTCCAGTCTTGGGGACTCTGTAAGCAGGAAGGGACTCTGCCTGGAGGTCTCTACCAGACAGAGCCAAGCCAATAAGCACAGCTCCAAGCTTAGGTCGTAAGTTCCTTCAATAGTTTCATAAAAGGTGGTACAAAAATTCTTAACACGTTTGATCTCTGCGTTACAAGGGTGGTTTCTGTGTGTGTCTTGAGTGACAAGAGGGATTTACATGTCAGAGGACACATCTGGAAGTATGAAAACAAGAGTGTGACCCTCAGATGCTTTTTTTTTTTTTTTTAAAGGAAAGGGACACTATTGTCTTGATTTTTACCTATGCAAGAGAGAAGCAGAGAGAGTGACTGGATTATTCAGCCAGTGACCAAACAAAAGTTTTTAAAATACATAGACAAAAAAGAAAATTAGAACAGTTAACAACAGAAGTGTCAGTTTTGAGAATGACAAACGGGTTACAATGTGGTTTCTGTTCCCTTGCTCCTCCAAAGATAATCGTTGTCTTCGGGCTCGAGTTCTATCCTAATTTGAGGCACGACTTTCACTGGAGTTCTTGGAGGACTGAAGCAAGACAGAAAGGGAAACAGAAAAGAAAGAAACATGGAGTAAATACAATTCTCATTATCATCTCTGAAACGCTTATGCACGCGGCACACTGAAAATGTGTCACTCTGTTCCATCCAATGCCTAACCCTTCCCTGTGGGTTAAGAACAGGGAGGAAAATGAAAGTAAATTCCAGCAAAAATTGCCGGAGATTTCATATATAACAAAAAGTCCCAAAATAAACCAAATGAAGCTACTATACGGATAATATTGTTACAAAGGAAAAGCAAAGACCAGTACCCCCAGACACTCACAGTCTGGTTTTTGGGGACTCAGATAGGACTTGTCATTTCCAGACTCTTGTTAGAGAGAAACTACTGAAGAAAGCTACCAGGAAACTCCAGTAACACTGCATGACAGTAAAATCATAAGATCCTACCCATTAACTTAATGACACTGAAACTTTTCATTATTTGTAAGAGTAAAACTCAGCTCTTTTAAAATGCTTTCCATCAGCAAAGCCTGGGATGAGTCCTAGATTATTTATTTAAGTCCCAGAGAAGAGAACAAGGGATTCTGCCCATCCCCGCCCACCCTGCTGCCTGCATCTCCCCACAGCACAAGACAAACGCTGACTCTTCTTTACCTGGGTAAACCCAGCGACTCAAGGAAAGGAATTTTATCAGCATGATGTGTGGCGTTCAAGGAATGTTGAGGATCTTTCTCCTGGCGGGAAAAAATCAAATGAAAAGACGTGGCTCTTTTGGTAAAAATGTAAAATTAAAGTGAATATGAAAATCTCCATGCAAACCAAGGCACTTTTCAGAACTGAGAAGAGTAGGAAAATCAGGTGAACATTGCAACATTGTATCAAGCTAAGCATGTGTTGATGAACACTGTAACATTGTATCAAGGTAAGCAGGCAAGTTGTAGGATGGAGCCTGAATCAGTTCCTCCCTCTCCTAAAGAGCATAATTCCTGCATGGGGCTAGAATGGCTCCTGTAAATCTCCTGCCTGTCCTTGAGCTTCCTTCCATGCTGAACACTCAGTCTTGCCTAGCTGTTGCTATTTAAGAGGAAAGGAGACTTTAAAGGTACTGTATTACAACTCCAGCTTAATCAATTCTGTTCTTTCTTGGCCTACAAAGATTACCACATTATTAGAAAAGGTTCAGTCAAAAATGGTCATGTGTCAACCGCCAATTAACTTGTAAGGAGATTTTGACAGGGCAAACAGATGGTACATAATTTTTTAATCACAAGTCTTAAGTTCTGGACTGACAATTTTTTAAAGCAACCTTTAGAGCCTTCTTTTGCTTTTAATTATCTAGAGATAAAAAGTGAAATGAATATGATAGGGGAACTGAAATTGTAAGTGAAATTCTTAAGTAATTTCTGTTGATAAAAGTGGCCATAAAATTATAATTATATACAATTATGAAATTATATATGTAAAAATTATAAAATAAACATATAAATAAAATATTTACAAGTCAGACAACAAAGGTAAGGTTACTTGTTCTTCAAATCCATTGGGCAGGTATCCTGCCTCAAAATGATGTCCAGTGGTTCCTGTTTCCCGGTGCTTATGTTCCTGTGTGATTCCTTCCCACACTGCACCAGAGCTGTCTTCACAGCTAAGATACTGTGGCAATAATGGACTGTTAATGCCTAGATTCTATTATAAAGTGCCGCAGCTTCTGTTTGGATTTCTAGCTATCTCTGGGGGAGAACCATGCCACATTGTCATGGCAGTTCTACAGAAATCTCTATAGGCCAAGGAGCTAAAACTTCCTGCCCAATATCATGGGTTGGAAACAGATTTTCAGGCCCAACCAAGCTTCTAAGAGTTTTAGTCCCAACTCATATGTAATTTCATAAGACTCTGGGCCGGAGGCACCAACTCAATAGTTCCTAAAATTAATTTCAAAATGTGAGAAAAATACATGCCTGTGCAATATTTTGGAGTAATTTGTTACTGAGAAATTGAGATATATCTATATCTACATCTATATCTATGGTCCCCATATTTAATCAACAGTTTTCTTGGTAACCCTAGCCTCTGACAATGGGTGATATCATATACCAGAAATAAAAATGTCTCTGTTGTTGTTCATCGTCCATTCTAGTCTTTCTGGAGTGATAGGCTGCTGGGTATAGTATAATAGACTGTGACATGTTATCTTTTCCCCCATGATGACACTCCACTTTGTAGTAGCATTAGTGACCATGTGAAGCTTTCCCAATAGCATGAAGCAATTGTCTCTAAAGCACTTCAGACTTTGGGTTTTCATGTGAAGAAAATGTATCCATTTAGATCCAGATGCACTGCAGAATGTAGCTATGAGCCTATTACCCAGGAAAGACCAGAGCAGATATAACTATGAATCTGAAGTAACAGAAGAGAAATGAAGAAGCTGGGGGAAAAAGACATATATCACTTAAATCTAGTTTTGCTAATATTTTTACAACTCCCAGTTTTTATTCCAAATTTGATATCTTAACAATCAATCTATTGATCACAGAGAGACCCCAGGTATTATTTCTCTCTTTTAACAAATTTGATGATTGACTGAAACCTAAGGAGGACAAACAGTAACAGACAGTGATGTAACACTATATAAGCTGCCATTCTAAAGATAAGTGGGGGAAAAACAATTAAAAAAAAACATGGTTACAGGTTTAGCTCTTGAAAACAAAATAATCAAAGAAAAGAACCCTAGCAATGACTTAGCCAAAAGATTATTGAACAGAATTATATAGGTTATGAAGAAAAGAAAGAGAGGTAGAGCTTAGGGAACAGAAAAGATAAAGTTTTTTTTTTCTTTTTAAAGAAGTAAGTTGCTTAAATCTTCACCCAGAAAAGTAAAAGGAAAAAGTAGGGGAAAGTTAAGTTGAGGGCAGCCCTAGAGGATCCTGGAAAAAGCGTAGATCAGAGTCAGGCAAGCATGCAAGGCGGTTAGTTCTACTCACTGTCCAAGGGTTTGTTATCACTTAGGAAAGGCTGCTGTTCCATGATGTCCATTGGAATTTTAATACTGGGGACCTTTTCTGAGTATGGGCAGTCAGACTGTGAAGAAAACGTACAACAGATTTTAGAATGCTTTCTCCTTCCTGCTTTCCGGTGCTTACCCAAACCGAACTCTTATAATGTCCATCTATCAAAGGGCAAAGTACTAGGGATTATTTCCGGCTGCCGAGTTAACTTTTCGAGTCCTTCACACCTTCACCCTGCACATTTAGTTTCTCCTCTTCTGAGTTAATGCGACTGAGTTCCTCGAGGCTCAAAACCACAGCAAGAGGATTCCTACAGCCTAACTGTGAAGTGTCCTGCAGTTGGATTCTGAATCGGCAAAGCCACACACAACTGTGAGGCATTCCACAACTGGATTCCCAGCTGGCAAACTTTGGTTTGTTGTATGTGTGAAGCGAAAGCACGCCCTGTGAAAACAGATCAAATCCAGGAAAATTTCCAAACTATATATGGTCTTAAAAAATCATGCTTTGTTTTACAGTGTTCTCTGATTCTGTCTCCAGGAAAATCATGACCCACATTCCTGTCCAAAACAATTTTAAGACCTTTCTAACATCCACCAGCAAGGAACACTCTATAGACTTAAAGTCTCCTTTCCTTACTTTAGGACTCACAGAAACTATTTCATGATTAAAGATTCATTCCAATTTGCCGTGTCAACAATATTTTTAAATATAAGGAAAAAAAAGACAACAGGAAAAAATAAAACCAAAAGGCTGATCAGATAAGTAGAAAATTGCCAGGAAAATGATACAACTAAGCAGTTGTAATAGTTACAATAGTCCACCTAAGCCCAAAATATCATAGGTTTCCATAGGATTACCACTTCGATTTTTAAAATTTCAATGATTGTGTCAGCATTATTTGTAATAGGTAAATTATAGAACTAACCTAAGTGTTCGATAGCAGAATCTGGACAAAGAAAATGTGACACACACATGCAAGCACACCATAGATACACACACACATATATATACACACACACATTCCCACACACATAACACAGATATACACACACATGTCACAGATACGCACGCACGCACGCACGCACGCACGCACATCTTTTTTTGCCATAAAGAAAAATGAACTAATGTTGTTTTGAAAGAAGGTAGATGCAAACAGGGATAATAATAGTAAGTGAATTAAGCCAGTCTCATAAAGACGAAAATGATAAGTTTTCCTCAGGTCACTTTTTGATTGTATATAGATATATAAAACCACGAAGTATAACTCTCTGTGGAGACAATGGAGACTAATGGACCAGTGAGAAGAGGGGAACGAGGAGGAAGATGCTCAACATATAATAATATACCACGCAAGAACACTAAAATGTAATTAATTTAAAAGTCAACATATTAATTCTAAGTCTATATTTGGGGTGAAGAGATCTGATCCATCTCTAAACTGAATATTCCAAGGAAACCATCTTTAATGAAAGAAAGGGGGCGGGATAGAAAGGAGGAAGAAGAGGGTTGGGACTATGTCCTAGTAGTAGAATGTTTCTCTAGAATTGTGAGATTCTGAACTAAACCCTCAATATATGGTACCATACCCTTAATATATGGTAGTAATGATTTATAATGTCTTCTGAGAACTAAGATGATATATCTGACTGACAAAAAAATTAAATTAATTAGGATGCCATATCTACTTTCCTTCCTGACCATGTCACAAAAGAAGTCTCCTTTCAAACGTTTCCCCAGACAATGGCACTTACAGATACCTGGGAAGCCACCTTAATTACCTAATCACAGACTTAATTACTAGCCAGGCTCAGAAGTGTCAGTGAGCAGATCAAAACGTAGCAAGACATAATTTTCGGAACGTCTGCCCATAATCATAAAATGTATAACCCTAGAATCCCAATATGGTCACATGTGAGCCCGGACCCCATATCACCTGAGTATCAAGAGATACCTTCCAATGCGTGGTCTTCAAATATTATGCTCAACACACAGACCCTTCTGCCCTGATGTACCCTATACTACCAATCATGTTCACTGTGTATGAACAAATGCACATCTGCTGTCTTGACATGGATGTGGTAGAGAAGGTATTACCCAAGACATTTCCAAAAACAAGCACAAAACCTACTTGTGACTTTCTTTGCAGCAGAAAGCTCTAAATATCATAAAAACAAGAGCATTGTGTGAGTATAAGTCATCAGAAATGTAGTTAAGAACTTGGAATTAGTTTACGGAGCTTATTTGAGCCGACTTCTGTCAGGGGAGAGGAGTGAGTTTTAAACAATGCCCAAAGGTTCACATTATTTTAAATAATAGAGAACATTTTACAATGTTAGTCTCCGTGTTAGCAATGTATAATGAATTTAAGTTTGGTGTTCATGAGTACGAACCAAGGTGTTTATTTTGAAAATTCAAGATTTTAATGCTGCTTTAATCATTTTAACATCTGAGGCAATCTTTGGTGTTTGTCTTGGATGGTTCAAAAAGCCACTTCAAGTGTTGATTTCTAAACAACATTGGAGTGTATTATTCCCTTTAACAGTGTGTTAGTCTCTGCTGCAGTGTAAACACACTCTCTCCTCTTCTCTCATCACTGGAAACAGAAAATCTATCCACCTGCTCGCTCACAAGACAGATGAGGATAGCAACAGAAGCTTTTCCAGACTCCCCTTCTCCATAGCTAAACATGTCTGATATATTTAGCCTTTTCTTATTGGATCAATTTATCTGAAATCCAATTCTGTCTCTTGCTTCCCTTTGCTGTACTATATCTATGTTTCAGGAGATGAAAACAGCTAGACAGCCCAATCAGCTCCAAACACACGGAGGAGCTCAGAGGGGAGCTCTGGCTATGCCACTCCCAGCTCTGCATGCTTAGAAAATCATCTGTAATGTTTATATTGAAGCACCACATTGTACACTTTAAGCATAGGCAGCTTCATTTGTCGCCTATATCTTAAGCTATTTCTTTTTCTGTTCTTCAAAAATAAAAATATGTCAACATTTACCACTCTATAAATTTTATCTATAAAATTCTAACAAAAAAGGAGCTGTTGTGGCAGCTGAAGATAAGGCATGCTTAGTCAAAGTTATCGAGTGATTAAAAATTAATTTAGGCCTTCAGTGATGCAAGCAAACCACATGAAGTCATAAGGATACTGCTGATGTCATCTCAGCAATAGCAGCAGAAATCCATATAGATCCAGAGCCTGACAGAACTAAAAATGGTCTTCTCAGGGAAAGTTAATTGATAATCTCAGTAAAAAAAAAAAAAAAAAAAAAAAATATCATTGACACCTGTTCACCCTACACTCTAATGATTTTTTTTTAAAAAAAGTTATTCTGTCAAATAGGCTCTAATTTGCACATTAATACACTTTGCAGCACTACTAAACACATATCTACGAGACCTGGTTCTTTACATGTGGTGTCCTGTGTCTTTGTTTTCAGTCAATCTGTCATTACAGATACATTAAATGGTTACAGAAAGCCTTTAGAAAATGTTAAGCAAACAACAAAACATGAGATTAAAAAAAAACAAAGGGTAAATTGGTGTAATGAGTGATCGGTCAGATGAACAACTGGAACCCTCAGCCGTCCACACCACACCAGTAATAAAAGGGACATGTCCCACATTTTTGTCTTTAACTGGCTTTCCATGGAAATTGTGGGGTGGTTCCTTACATCGTCATTGTCGCTATCCAAACTTCCTTTCTTCTTTTTCTTTTTCTTCTCGTCCTCTTTCTTTTTCTTGTCCTTTTCTGGAATGACATCATCAAGGAAGCTGAGGTCGTGCTGGGAGAAGAGGTAGTCCATACCTTTTCTGACAGCTACCAGGGCCAGGATCTGGGAAGGCAATAAGAAAACAGGCATGTCAGAGGATGTCACAGGGCTGCTGCTGCTGCTGCTGACCCCGCCTGTCAACACCAGCAGAAATCCATGCAGGTCCACAGACAGACAGAACTGCTCACTGAGTGACCCTCCCACAGTCTTCCCAGTTTGGTGAAAAAGTCAGTTTGATGAAAGTTTCAGTCAAAACCCACCTTGTTTTGTTCATAGAGATGCATGATCATACTCGATCAGAATACGAATGAAAGGTAACTATTTTCTAAAAATCGTTTTATTTAATGTTGAGTTTTTAATAAGATAACTAAAATCTTAAAGGTAAAAAATTAGCTTGCATATGATTCCTAATCATTGAAAATTTAGAAATTATACAGGTTTCTAAAAATTGGTCATTGTTTCAAGTTAAATGATCCTTGCTGAACACTTAGGCAATATTAGTTTATTTATTCTTTATAATGAACTCAAGAAACATATTATTTCCATCTTACTGCTGAGCAAACTGAAACTTATAAACACTATGCTTTCCAGGGTCATGATACCAGTAAAGAAAGAATGCAAGGCTTACAGTCTATCTGCTTTTAAATTTTTTCCAATTTTATTTTTATTTATATGTATGTCTACGTATGTATAAATGTGTGCAAGTACCACTGGAGACCAGAAGAGGGTGTCAGAGTTATAGGCAGTTGTAAATGCAGAAAACACTCTTAGTCAATGAGACATCAATCCGGTCATTTCCAACCATGAGTGATTTATATTCTGTATTACCTCTGATTCTTCGGTTCTATGAACTATTTTGTTAATTACTTTTTTTTAGTCGGCATACAAATACCACATTCCATTACACATCTTGCCGCGTAACGTTTGACTGTCTCACTTGCCCTTTCACTATGGAGGTTCCTTAACACCAGATGTTCAACAGCAAAAGTCACACACAGTCAAATTCCCAAAGCGGTGGCTTGGCCTCCCACTCGCTCCGTCCATACTACACTCCATATTTGAGGCATCCTCTCCTGAAGAAAGCAGTAGTAATTGCCCTGCTAACATTCCAAAACCATCTCTGAGCTGAAGGAAAAATCCCTGGGGAAAATACACTTTACAAAAGTAGTGTTTTCTTATATTGAGTACAGGTAATATGTAATTTATCGGATATATTTCAAATAAATCTGGGGAGGCTTCATTTTCCTGCTATTAACAAATTAATATATATGTAGAAAGCCCTACTGGATAAATAAATGGGAGTCATTCTCACATTCAATTTGTTTTACAGTGTCTTAATACAGCTTAAGGGGAAAAAGGTATGTAAGGGACCATGAATTAAAAAAAAAAAATCTTGCTCAATACTGTCAGTAATTTTTTAAACCATTTTTCTTATGTCTTAGTGGGTGATGGTAGAAATACAATTATAAAAAGCAAATATAAAACAGAATAAAATAATAATCCTGTTATGAGTTCATCAATTTTTAATAAGTGAATGGTATAAAAATGTTTTGTTTTTGTTGTTTTGTCTTTTGGTTTATTTTTAAAGAATTGTCGGGATGGAGACAGCTTTGAAGTCTGTTTTAAGAATTTTTGTTTAACAGTTTCCTCCAAGATTGAAACATTCCATGCTGTAGAGAAGATCCTTAAACAGGAAGGTAAACAACTTGAAATGGCTTCAGGAAGTCCCTAAAATTGACCAGATTCACTAGGCCGCACCCAGCCAGAATAAGCAGTAGGACCTGAGAGTCCCTCACAGACCAAAGAGCTAAACTGCATAGAAGGCTCCAAGACAAGCCAAACTACATTGACTCCAAGCCCAGACCACCTTCCTGGAAGAGGTTCAGATCAGCTGAGGACCTGGAAAGAACACTCTCCAGCCTGCTGAGCTGCCTGCAGGCTGAGCAGTGTGCATGCTGGGTGGACCTTGGTAATGCAGTTGTCTTCGAGTAGTTTCTGTTTCTATAAGTAATACCTCACCCATATTCCTGAAAGTAACCCCAATAAAACTCATTGGTTCTCTAAACTGGACTTTGGTTTTATCTGTTCTTTGATCTGTTGTAGGTTTTCTATCTGAGGTGAGAAGACATGTGTGTTGAGTCTCCCCAGGAAAAGTTTTGTCACAAAACAGGTATACTTGGTATAGTTTCTTGCAAGAAATGGAATTACAGTGAAATATAAAATTCAGTAATGAATAAAGAAATAGAGCTTGCATTTTCTCTTTCCATCTTGGTTCAGGGGGAGGAAGGACAGTTACTTGTTTCACTTTGCTTAGTATACAGGAAGACTAGAATCCAGCCATATCCTGACAATGATGCAAAGCACAGAAATCTCAAAACCTCTACATCTAGTGAATTCTACCTTTTCTCACAAGTTTACAAAAGCTGCTACTATTTGGACAGAAGTGTACTTTATTCTTCCTTAGAATGACTCTATTATACAACACCTTGAAAAACCATGTGCTCTGGTGTCTACTGCCTGCCAGACATTGTGTTATACACTTGGCATTCATTATCAATGCTCAGAACAATAACAATGCTACCCTCCCACTGATGAGTTCATGGTGGCTCAAGGATGTTTGCTGACCAGCAGGAACCTGTGCCAGTATCTGAATTCAGGTGGACATGAATCTAAGCAGCTATTGCCACAGGAATCTTGTTACAACTGGTCAACGTGTTGAGTTGAAAACTAGACAAGACTAGCCACACACATGTCATAATAACTATATGATAGGCATAAAGCCATGGCTAGTTTTAATTAGGAAAGCCTACCATGACTGGAAAAATAATTGCAGCCACTGTTGACTTGAGGATCCAGAGCAGAGCCAGGCACAACACCTGCAGGAAGGTGAACAGGTGGACTCGGCGGAGGGGGACGTGGCGCAGGTAGATGAAGTCAGGCTGATGCTTCAGGGGCATCAGAAGCAGCTTGAGACGGTCCATGAACTGGGAGGAATGGGGAAGAAAAGGTTAATGTATTATCTGAAGAGACAGATGAGTCATTTTCTCTCTGCGTAACCAACCACTAGCGATTTATATATTTCAGGCAACCAATGTCCTCTTCAAAGGACTTAAGCTTGGTTTAGAGAGTAGGGAATTCACATTAGCACACTGAGATCATGTTACCTGTCTTCTAGTTTTTGCTGATTTTTTTTTTCCAGAGATGTTTAGCAGGTACATAAGATAAAGTGGGTACCAAAGGCTAAAGTTATAAGGATATCTCAGATTCTAGCTGTTCATCCTCTGCCTTCTATTTCTACTGCCTGCTTCTCAACACAGAGGATTAGGTACCCATTTTGGTACACTATGCTGAGGCAAGACTTGTAACTCTTGCATCTGCTCCTGGCTCAGTTATCTTATCTGGAAGAAAAACTACATCATCCGCAAATCAGACATGTTCTAAGGAGATAAAGGAACCATCCAACTTAAAAATGGGACCGTGCAGATTATGCCATTAATCCCACTTTCTTTAGGTTATAATTTGACTAACACACCCATACCCACCAGTATATTAGCATTTCTTCCAAGAGAAAAGCTCTGGGAACATTATGATGAGTTTCAAGACACCGACCATGAGACAGGAGAGTCAGAGAACAGTTAATACAGCCATGTATGGACCGGGAATTGAAAGGATGACTGTGGGTGTTTGTGCCAGGCGCCTCTCAGAGATGAAGTACTAAGGGGACACTATGTGGATGAGCACGATGATGCCCAGTAACTCATCCCAGAGGCCTTCAGAGGGAGACATTGCATAGACAGAGGTTGGGCTGACTAATTATAAGAACTCAAGAAAAGTAAGTTACGTCATCATAACCTTCTCTGGAGCCTCTGCCTATTTGAAGGCTATTTCTCTCCCTTTAGAACATTTGTTTTTTATCTATAAAGGTTAGATTTCAATTTTTTCTGCTAAACCAATCTTGTGAAAAGGGTCTAAAAGAGAAAAAAGGAAGAGAAAAATAAAAAAAAAAAATTGAAAAGGTGTTTGGGACAGTAATATTTGAGGGGCAATACAGTTCATTAGCTGTCCCTACAATGTTTCCCACCAAGCATTTTGGGATGACTGGCTCTTTTCTTCTCTTTATAGGCAGGTATTCAGTTCAAGCTATTGATAAGGCCCCTGGAACACTAAACACAAACCTCTGGTTTTTGACTGAATTCTTAAGGGCAAACAAAAAATAATAGCTGTTAATCCTAGGCATCTAAAGCTTGTATTTTCCCATTTAGGAGAAGAAAAAGTATTTATAACGGCAGGTAAGAATAAAATATTTTACATCATTGTACTTCCTAAATACTTGGTTGGCAAACAACAACAACAACAACAACAAACACAAACAAAACAAAAAAACCAAAAACCGAAACAAAATAGAAACAAAGAACAAAACAAAAAAGCCCTCAGTCACCTAGTGCAGCCCATGAAGAGCTAGCTACTTTGTGTTTCATAACAAGTATTTCATTGCGGAAGAACCCTTCTCCTGGACCAAAACCAGGAATAGTAAAGTAGCTTAGGCTTTGCTTTTGGGGGGTCTGGCCATTTGCCCAGATCTATCTGACTTTAAAACCAAGTTAATATAAACGTAATAAACGAAAGCAAGGGCTGTTTTGAAGGAGTTCAAATGAATTCTTATGATGCTCACAGAACACTCAGTCTTTTCCCATTAAAACATTACTGAGTGCTAAATAAGGCTGCAATTAACAGGGTGCCAGAGAGTGGCGGAACTTTCAGTTTCCTGGTGCCAATTAAATTAAACCTCCATTGAGAGACAAAGTTCCTCGCAAAGTTTTGTCTAGTAAATTTTTTAAAAACTAGAGCAGGGTGGGGGCGGAGGTGGGAGCGGCGGGCGGGGGGCCAGGGCAGGGTGATCATTCGAACTGAAGTTGTGAACACCTGAAAGTTTTGATGAACGCGGTAACCATTACATGGTAATTTTAATTGCTTATTGCTGCAAAACTTTTGATCACTGAGTTCAGGTGTGTGCAATGCAGGATCGAGGGCTGACTGTAAGAGGGGCGGTTAGGCAAGTGTGCAAACATCACACTGAGAACACAGTGGGCATCTATCTTGAGACAAAATAAGGTGATATAAGAGAGAGAGAGATGAGAATAGAATATGAGAAAAAATGGAGAGCAAGAAGGGGGAAGAGGACATGGGGAGGAAGAGATAAAGAGGAGGAAGAGATAAAGAGGAGGAAGAGGAGGAGGAAGAAGAGGAGGAGGAGGAAGAGGAAGAGGAGTAATGGGAACAGTAGCTCACTTCCTCACCAAATGACATTAGCACCCCTTTTCAGTAATGGGCATTCACGATGACATTTGTTGACACCAGCTAGCTTTGTCGATACCATCAGAAATGAAAAGCAGGTAAAAGGTAGAGGAAGTAGAAAATAAATGTATTTTAAAGAGTCCCTAGTTAATGATTAGTGCCTTCATCAGAGATCTATTACTGGACTAGTTCTGCTTTGGGAAATGCACGGGGCTTGCTTGGACCCCTGTGAAAGCTTACCTGCACACCATTAAGTGAGGCCACCCCCATATACAGGAACACACCGTACAGAACAGGCATGGGGATAAACTGGGAAGTAAAACAGTGGAAACCGGTTACAAACAACAGTGAAAATAATTAGGAAGAGGAATAATTTAAATGAAGGCTAAATCTGGAACTAAAGCACAGCGTAACAGAGCAACCTCAAATTAGTGCATTTAACTCATCAGCTGATAAGATTCTAAGCCCTGAAGTAGAAACAAATAAAGATGAAAGAAACATTCAAATAAATTTCATTTTTTTTGTTTCTTCTTTTTAAAGAATGGGAACACATGACCTCAATAATACTTTTTTAATGGGGAAACTGTTTTGGCTTTCCTTTGCTCTTAAAAGCAGTAGACTATGCAACCCAGATGTCTGCGTGGGATAGGAGGTACATGCAGAGGTAGCAAATTGCCTCACTCTGAAACCAAGATCCTTTTGTAACAGGCTATTGGTTTTGTCCTTGCTATTTTTTGCCAAATGATCTATCAGTTTGGTTTGTAAACGCCTCTTTCGGTCAAGGAAACATCAAGAGACCATCCCTTGTCTTCTCAGGACTCTAAGAATACAAATTAATAAGAACGTGGATTGGAAGCATCAGGGAACAATTAATTACACATATGGAGTAACGCAAGCCTCCTAAAACTCAATTAATATTTTATGCATTATTTAGTAAAACATCCTTTGCACCAACACGAAGTGTTTTTAAAAATGAGAAGTTCTAATCTAATGTGTACATCTTATTTTCCCCTGGGCCCATGAAATGCAAGCAATCACATCTGAGAATCAGTATTCTAACTCTGAGAAGTCTTCTGTCCAGGCAACAAAAGCCCTGGGTTTGAAACAAGGTTCCAGCAACTGAAGGACAAAGCTAAAATACTAAAATAGAAAAGTAATTAGGGCCAGCCAGCCTATCCTCATGCAGGAGATTGTTTTAACCAGAAGACAAATTATTCCTTAAAGAGTAGAACTTTAAAACTATGGCATGTATTAAATGAAGCGCCGTTTCTAGAACCATCTTACCACAATTGCCTGGTGCTACTCTGCCTCAGACCTTCTGGTCACACTAAAGAACTAGTGAATTCTAAGATGGACCGCCACTGTCTCCAGTTGGTACTGGTTGCTCACAGGAATGCTCACGTTTCAATGGAGAAAATACACATTTCTATGAACTATCAAAGGTTTTCTCTAAAGGGGATCAACCATCTTATCATAACTAACTTTAACCAAGAGCTCAGAAAAGACTAAAAACTAAAAGGGACTGAATGCTTAAAGTGGATAAGAAGGCTAGGCTGGCAGGAAGCCAGCATCCTGTAGTACCCAGCAGTGGCCACAGAGCGGTAGACACAGCCCACTCAAGCCCAGGGGTTCAATCACAGGCCCCCGTTTCTCTTAGCATGTGAGTGCTATGTTACTTACAACTCTTTCTGTACATTTCCCAAGAATAAATACATATTACCAGCGAAGGATCAAATTTCCATCTCGGATTCATTTCTAAGGCATCTATTTCCTCTCAACATGTCATGATTTATTTTCCATTTATTGTTTATATTCAAGTAGAAGAGGGTGCAGGAAAGAGCAGTGGATTCCTGGGAAGCTACTTGGGTTTCCTCAGGGGTTTCTTTTTGATCTGGGTAAAGAGTATCTCTGGATTGGAAGCGTCAGAAAGGGTCTGTCCTTCCCTGAGCTTAACTAATGATTTTTTTTCCTAATGTGTTTCTACTACTATAGCAAAGGACACTGCCTGGGGCCTTAGATCCATTCTCTGAACTATGTTAATACATCTTACCTGATCTATGACATGGAATGGCATGGATGGATATAAGGAAGAAAATAACTAGGTATGTGAAGGTGTGTATATATACATACATATACATATATATATATATATATATATATATATATATATATATATATACAGTTGGGAGAAAATAGTACATATAAGAAAAGCTGTGAGGTTGACTTTTGATCAGCTTCAGTATAATACAAATGCTTATGATAGTCTCATTTTCTTCACAACAGCACCTATCAATACAATTCCTAGAATGAGATTCCTAATAAAACCTGACAGATGGCTCAGCGGTTAAGAGCACTGACTGCTCTTCCAGAGGTCCTGAGTTCAATTCCCAGCAACTACATGGTGGCTCACAACCATCTGTAATGGGATCTGATGCCCCCTTCTGGTGTGTCTGAAGACAGCAACGGTGTTTTCATATACATAAAATAATAAATAGATCTTTAAAAGACTGACAGAATTATTGAGATGGAGGGTATATTTTATAGTATTTAGTTCACGAATCATATCGGAAGGTCAATGTGTAAAAATAAATCACACTAGAACCACTCATCAAAACAAAGTTCTCAGAGGAAGAAAAAGAATGATAGTGGTAGTTCATACTTCTTCTCTTAGTACTTGGGAAGCTGAGGCAGGAGGACTGCCATGAGTATATGAATTCAAGGCCAGCCTAGACTAATGTGTGGCAATATAAATAAATAATGAATTCTACAAAAAAAAAAGTCTCTAAAGATGAGATCCCCTTTTAAAGTGGGACAATACGGTAATAGCAGGAAGTCATTTCTACAAAGCAAGGAGGTAGAAATTAAAAATATCCACTTCAGGGGCACATCCAGATAGCTAAATGGTAAACTGTGCAAACAATTATATCATCAGTCATACCCAGGAAGCAAAAAAGAATAATTACAAAGAGGTGTTACATTCAATAAATATAAAAAAATGAAAAAATTTAAATGATTGATACTATAATCATACAGAACAATGAAAGTGAGGTGAGATCAAAGTAAGACTTAATATCTAAATACTATGTCACCAACATTTTGAATTCTGGTCAGTGTATCTCTGTGTTTTTCCCTTTATCATCTGGTGATTTGTCCATAGTAGTAGAACACTCCCAGAAGGAAGGATGTGAAAAGGATGTTTGATAAAAAGGGAAAACTATTCTTGTCCACCATGTTTTTCCTGCTTCTGTGGGTCAGGACTCTGTGGGAGATTAACACTGGATAGCAATTCAATAAGAACTGAGACTTCTGATGGTCAAAGCAAGTGTGTGTAGGAATGCTTATATGTGTGCATGTGCGTGTATGCGTGTGGGGTGTATGGTTGTGTATGTATGTATGTGTGTGTCTGTGCCTAAAGCTAAGAGTAAGGTCCTGATTAAGACGTGGGTGACAGAAGTTGAACAGACCTGGGTTTGACTTCTAGCTGCCAGCTGTAGACCACTGAGACAACTTGTTTGATTCTCATACTCTAAGTATTCTCATCTAGAACGCTCCTATGATAAAGACTTACAACATCTTAACAATTAATTGATTAATATGGCAACTAACAAATGATAAATGTTTGCTTATGCCTGCAGTTCCCAACCACTGGTCTTCCTGTTTCCTCGGTGATAGGAGTGGGCAGGGGGTGACTTGGGGAAGAGATGGCTAGGGAAGCAGAGACGGCTTGCTTGCAGGTCTGACTTGAAGCCCCGTTTTACTTAATTTTTAACACCTTGCACTTTCAGCTAACCTCATTTTGGCAACATGTTACTAACACAATTCCCTAACTTTCTTAAGCCTTAGAAATCTCTGCTGATAAAGAAGCCAGCGGTTCTCGGCCTGGGACAAGGCCTGAAGAGGATTTCATGAACGTTACATAATTTTCCCCACATAAGAAGGATTCCAAATGAGATCAAAGAGTCTGGGAAAGATAATATTATGGGAAAAGAAAATAGAGGTTCTTTGAAGGCTAAGTACCATGTTTTGTTTTGAAGGACACACATTATATGAGGTTATAGAATTAGTTTTATACTAGAACTTCCAGAGTTCAAATCTTGCCTCTACAATCTAAGCTTACTGAAGTCTAGTGACTTTTTCATATTTTTTCCTATCTTTAGAGTGGAGATAATTATTCATACAGCTCTCATAGGTACTGATGGATATGTTTTTAAAACCTGCAATGACCCCTTAATCTGAGGCCAAGCTCAACAGACAGCAGTTTTGGCCTTACAATCGTCATCTCTACCATGTTTGTCTTGCTTCCATGGATCAGCTCTGTGTGGGAGACTAACAAGTATCTGCCAGGTACAAATTAAAGGCTCTCTTCTATATTTTAGTGCACTAAACAAATCTTAAAGATAACTTCTGGCCACTCCTCATGTTAAAGATAAACTAATCCAAGCACAGGCAACAGAAACAACAGTGAACTTTCCTTGATCTTTATTTCTTGAGTCTTGCCAGGAAAACAGAGAGTCGGCTCAGGGAACGGCCTTTCATCTCTTAGCTGCTCTGTGATTGCCACTTATAGAAGAACACTAGCAGTAACTGGCAGCGGCGGAGGCAGCAGCATTTCCACTGTGGAAACTCGGGGAACGCCACGTCGCCAGCCTGGGAAGCCAGTTATTCTTACTTCCCAGCAGTTCTGTGCTAAGCAAGTAAGTGATCCCGTGCTTTGAGGCATCATTGACTATAGCTGTTCAGGGTCAAGGGGTATCCTCATGAACTTAAAGCTGGTACACTATAATTCCTTGCATTCCTCCACATGAAAGACAGATTTCGGCACAGAGATCAAAACAAAGGCCATAAACTTCATGTTCAAAGCACCCTTGCATAAGTAGGCAACCACCTATACTGCTTCACGCATGCAAGAAAATTGCTCAGTTCATTTGAGACCATTAAACTTGTAAGGAGAAGGAGTTGGGCAGGGAAGGTGTTCAACCATTTCATTAAAAAAAAAAGTCACATATATCTCTTGTTCCCATCCATTTGATCTAACTTTCAAAGGCAGAATCTTAAGTAAACCCATTCTCTGAACTTGTCATCTGTTGCTTTAAAAAAAAAAAAAAAGACACAGTCACATGGAGGTCAACCTGTGACACCGCTTTCTGTGTGAATTTGTAGGTTAATCATTAATTGTACCCTTTCCTTAGCTGTGGCTTACATTTCGGTTAAACTGTACCCTTAACATCTGCTTCTTCCTGTATTGACTTTGTAAATGCTAACGAGGCATCTCGGATACATGCACGAAACTTGCCGAACATAAGCGGTTGGGCAGGCACATGATCTGAAATGGTGGCCTTATTCGAAGATATGATTCCTGAAGTAGGGAAGGACTAACATACTCAAGGAAGGAACAGAGGCTCCTGAGCAGAAGCTGCTTCATTCCTGCTGCTTTCCTGTAAGGTTTTCCAGTCTATTGTGAGCTAGGCTAGCCAAACCATTCCATCTCCTATGTTTAGGAAAACTCTGGCTTTTAAAAAAAAAAGTGTGCTAAATTACTTTTTTCACCAATGGAGGCAGTGACTCTTCAGGTTAATCAAAGTTGCCAGATAATAACAGCCACAGTGATGGAGGGTGGCAGCCCAGCAAAGCAAGCCAAGGCATGGGCGGGTACAGGACGGCCGCAGGGGAGTTTCCATACATACTACCGTGTTTCACATCATGTGGGGTAAAAGGGTTCACTGCAAAAACCCAAGGGCTTTTCCCTTCAATGTCTCTGTAGCTCTATTTGGGTGCAGGGTGAGGAACAGTAGATCTGTTACCAGGTATGAGTTTGTCAGTCTGTCTAAAGGTGACAATTTACACAGTATTGTCTCTGTCCGTGCTGAACCATACATGATGACTGGAAGGCTCCCCATGATTAAAATCAGTTTTTCTGTAATACAGACACACGAGTTTTAAAAACAACTGCCTTTTCTGAAGCAGGATTTTATACTGTTTTAGTAAGGACAAGTCATATAAAAAAACAAAATGGAGGGATGGCTGATGGGTTGTAAATTTGAAGACTGAAGGGATGTCTGCCTGCCGATCTCTCCTTAGAAATGTCTCTCTAGAAGGTTCCATAAAAGCAAGGTTGCACTGTAGCAGTGTAACAGTGCATGAGCCCACTCGCAGGAAGCTGGTGCTTCCTACAGTTCGGGATCTTAACTGCCCACGGTGACCTCTAAATGCCGTCTCATTGTCTTTGAGACAAAGATTGTCTCTAAGCAACTCCACCAGCATCATATGCTGGGACTGGCTAGGGGAACAGAAACACCTATAGGCTTCGGCAGAATGTGCCATGCTTCAAACCCACTAAGCCTTGCAGGTACAGCCACCTCGTTGCACTGACAGAACTGGCCATGGGTTCTTATCTGTCCCCATAGGACACAGGCTGGAAACAATTTCTCTGTCATCATTTTAAACCTGAGTTCGTCTGTGGGCTGCCTGAGAGGCACCATCCCTCATGACTCTGTTTAGAAGTTAACCAGAAAACAGAAACCATGGAAACCCACGTAGTTGGATAATCAAGTCTTTTAACTACTTCCAATTATTTCATACCAAATGTAGGCATTAGTCTAGCTACTGAAAAGGCAAACTGAGTCTCCACACTCAGATGTTATAGCTCCCTCCTCTGCATCTCATTGATTGGCCACTGATAGAAACTTGCTAATCTCATAGAAACAGCGAGCTTTTCCTACTCACTATTACACCCAAGAGTCATGTGCTATATCTCTCCATTACTTGTATAATCAAATGATCCAAAAGTCTTCAAAATTTTATTTATTTATTTATTTATTTATTTATTTATTTTGGTTTTCCAAGACAGGGTTTCTCTGTACACCCCTGGCTTTCCTGGAACTTACTCTGTAGACCAGGCTAGCCTCAAACTCACAGAGATCAGTTTGCCTCTGCACCCCAAGTGCTGGGATTAAAGACATGTGCTACCACTGCTCAGCAAAATTCTATTGTTTAGAAATAAAATTTTTCAGTTGGAAAAATGGTAATATATCGTTAACAAGGGTTGCTCATAGTTGTTGGATCTGGGTGAAGTTTTGTGCTTTACACAGTAGTACAAAGTATAAGATGCAAATTACCAATAATTGATTAGGGATGTTTTTGTAATAGAAAAAAAAAAGAGAGAGAGAAGCTAGCTTATATCACAAAACCAGAAAGCTTCATGAGCAAATGCATTGATTTCCCCTGTGTTTCTTTTTCTTAAAGGAGCCATTGTATGTATGTTGCTCTGTCTACACAGATACCCACACCATCAATCAACCTATATGTTGACGTGTAACCTTTTAAATGTTCTACCACGTAACGACTCTTCAAAAGTTCATTTCTAAAGTTTTCCAAATATAAATCCATCATTTTATTCTTATTTCTCTTTCAGGATTAGAGCCCTCCCTGTTGGGGTCTGGCAAGGGGTGGGACTTAGACACAAGCAAGTAGATAGGCTGGATAGAAGACAAAGGAAGTGGAAAGTATGTGTGGGGAGGAAGACTAGTCAGATGGACATGCATGGTACCACCCTTCTACAGGTCAGGAGAGGTTTCAATATTGGTGATGTCAGAGGGGTCAAACAAGTAACTGCAAAAATAATAGTGAGGAAGGAAGTACAGGAATTGGGTGAGAAAGCAAGGCACATACTTTTAAATTCTCTTTCTTTATGGACCCCTGCCTCCATGTGCTATGGAATCTTGCAAGCATTTCACACTCATGTGTCTGGTTATCAGTGTTCCCAAGAGGAGGAAGCCATGAATGTTTTGCATCTTTACCTTCAAGATGGGAGCCATGAAGACCGATAGGCCAGTCAGAATAAATACAAGGGTTCCAGTGACTCGTTGTTCCCTGAAACAAAACCCAAAGACCATCAGTCTAACTTCGGTTTTCACAGACTTTTAGAGAAAGACCAAATAAAGTGTTGTGCTACAACATCAAAAGTCTTGTTATAACTCATGTCAAATCTCAAGAATATTGTATGAATTCAATATAAGTATAAACTTTAAAGATGTTACAAAGTATTAAAATATATGATTGGAACTCATGAAGAGAAAAAAAGTGATTCTCTAAAGCTTCTGCTCCTTTCAGAAAAAGGAAAGAAAGATCGCTTGCCCTTGGTCTATGAATTACTGGCTTCTTTGAAGCTCTTGTTTTTCAAACAACTTGTCCTGTTGTGTAATTATACCTTCTTTCATAGGAGACAGATATTACATTGTCCCGTATTCTAATTAGCAAACAGCTCAGGGAAGTTTCATGAGTGCAATAAATCTCACCAGTCTAATTTTCAAATTTGAAACAACAGAAGTGCTTTTTAATGAATATGATCTCCATCCAACACCCTGCACCCTAAGAAAGAATCACCCACTGTTGAGGCCTGGGAAATGATGGCTCTGTTGTGCACTATTCACTCTATCCCTTGTGAGCAAAGCTTGCTACGACAAAAGACAAAACAAGAAACAAAACACTCAATAGAGGACAAAGGTCCTTTACCAGTGACCTTCACAAATACTCTAATATTTGAAGGTTCTCAAGTTCTTATGGGAACAGAAATGGGTTGGAAAACAAGAATTCCTACTCCTTCAATCATGGAAATCATGGAAGACTTAAGGCTTTTACACATGACTGAGGTAGAGCACATAGCTATATATTGAAGAAAACTAACCACTTGCTTAGCTTTTTCTGTTGCATCATTTAATATTGTGCTAATCAAGAAAGTTGACATATTTTAAGAAATGAGCTAAAAGTTAATGTCCTTCCTGGAGAATATAATTTAGGAATAAATTAACCATCACCATTTATCTTATTCCCAGATTGTGTCCACTTCCTTATGATTGACACAAAGATGTATACCCACCCGTGAGGTTTTTTTTTTTTTTTTTAAGAGTCATTTTCCTGAGACAACACACCTCACTCCCAGAAACTTTGGCTGTTCTCCAGGTGCAGAAGTCTCTGTCTCCATCTTCAGACTGTCAATGTGAGCAATGGAGATGACAGTAGCAGCCACATACCAGGGAAGAGCCATGAAGGAGCACACCACCATGAGGATGGCGACCCAAAACAGATCCAGGTGATACCCAGCTCCTTTCTGCAGAAAGAAACCACAGCACATGAACAGAAAGCACTCATTCTTATCATCTACTTATAGTTAGGCAGAGGGACTATGATTGACAAATGAAACTTGTTCTGCATGATAAAAGTACTCTTATAGTATCTTTCATAAGTGAACACATTGAGACAGGACATTCATTCCCTTCCTCAGAATACTCTCCTGGTGTTAGCCTTCTCCTCCAGCACCTATGCAGAGTCTACCCAATTATAATTCTGAATAATTAATTCAGACCTATGTCTACTACTCTTAGTACCTATTCATTATAAATTAACCTTTCTGTATCTGATTTTGTAACCCCCAAAATTAAGATAGGGACCTTGCTTGGAGAGTTACTGGGACTATTCGGTGAAGGAACCACAACAAAGAACCTTGTAACAACTTACGGGGGTGTAGCTGTTACATCCTAAGTGCTCACTAAGGGACGCAGAGTCAGAGTGGCAGTGGTTGTTAAGACAGAATGGCCAGCACTTACGAAGCAGCACATCATCTTCTTTGTGTGACAGCATTTAACAGAAGGCTACTCACCATGACAAGACTGGGTATATGTAAAGATCCTCCCAAACAATCGCGAGATGGTATGTAAATGCCCATCTCTCATTCTCATGGCCTATTGTTTAACCACCTATTGTTCACCGTCATTTTTTTTTTAATTCTGGATTTTCTTTTTTTTAAAAAAAAATTGGATATTTTATTTATTTACATTTCAGATGTTATCCCTTTTCCTCATTCCCCCCCAGAAACCCCGTATCCTGTCCCCCTTATTGCTACTTCTATGAGGATGTGCCCCCACCCATCCACCCACTCCCCCCTCCCTGCCCTCAAATTCCCCCACACTGGGGCATCCAGCCTTCACAGGACCTCCTCTCCTACCAATGCCACTACATATATAGCTGGAGCCATGGGTCCCTCCAAGCATGTTCCAAGGCTGGCTGTTTAGACCCTGGGAGCTCTGGTTGGTTGGTATTGTCACTCTTCCAATGGGGCCGCAAGCCCCTTTAGCCCCTTTAGTCTTCTCTCTACCTCCTCCACTAGGGACCCCATGATCAGTTCAATGGTTAACTGCGAGCATCTGCCTCTGACAAAGCCTCTCAGGAGGCTCCGGTCAGCATGTACTGCCTGGCATCTACAACCATGCCTGCGTATGGTGACAACACATGGGCTGGATCCCCAGGTAGGGCAGTCTCCAGATGGCCCCTCCTCCAGTCACTGCTCCACACTTTGTCTCCTTACTTACTCCCGTGAGTATTTTGTTACTCCTTCTAAGAAGGACCAAAGCACCCACACTTTGGTCTTCCTTTTTCTTGCCCACAATCATTAAGGTAAAGAATACTCCCTTAATCAAAACAGAGGGATTTCAAACACCACCCTATGCTCACAATAACATCTACTGACTGGATGGGCAGACAGTGCAACAAAAGTTCTAGCTTCTTTATTCACTAAGTAAATACTGTTCATCATGTCCCCAGTGTTTTTCTGTGGCTATATTTCTCCGCTCTATTTATGAAGAAATCAAAGGCTCATACCCCTGTGGAGCTGGAGAAACTAGAGCTGTCTATTCTCACAGCATGAAGGAGCAGTACCAAGAGTCAGACTAGGGATGATCCAAGAGAATCGAGAGTCTGGCTTTGGAAAGTCAGGGTGTGATTTACACCAGCAACCCAGGGAGTGTTATCATTTGAATCCTGTTACAGTTTGTCAAAACGAAGCTCTCCTCTAACAAGATTGCCAAGATTTTATCCATTGCTTGCACATGGGTCCATATTCCCAGAGAGTGCATAGCAGGCATGGGAGCCGACATGGAAACAAAGGCATGTTTTAATAAAGCTACATTTGACTGGGAACAGACATCTGCTCATCAGACAAATGTTAATATACATGTATGGAATCAGTTCACTTTAGGAATGCATAATTAATTATGTGAATTAAAAGTGAAATAAGGTGAAGAGAGGAAGGCAAACATGGGGTAGGCTAATATAAATTTATTCTATAATGATCAAAAAAGTAAACATGATATATGTGGGATCTCAGTCGTGAGTTTCTTTCAACAAATCATTAACTTACGACTTAGTACCAAGCCAGGATTCTAGCTGCTGCTGACACTTTTGTGAACAAACAAAAAGAATACCTGGTCTCATGGAGTTTCCCTTTTACTGTGAGAAGCAGTAAGGAACAAGATACATTTTGAAAGTGCATAGCATCTTACTTCGTAGTAAGTCCGAAGAGGAACCAGGACAACTTGGGTTTGCTTTGGGAGTAAGATAGGATACCACTGGAGGACTTTCAGGAGCAGAGTGATCTGACTGCTGCGTTCTCAGCACTGTGGCTACTGTGTTATGGACAAATTGATTAGGGTCAAGGACTGCAGGACCATTTTGGAGGCAGATGCTGCAGTTTGTTTAAGAGATTATGGTTATGAAGGCAGAGGTGGTTGTATTCTGATTGAGCACCGAGGATTGCCCTCTTCTCCCCGTATGTATGTCTATGATGATGCTGCAGGGCCATATGGGATCTGGTCATTGGTAGAAGGGACAGAGTTCACAGTCTCCTCTTTCCTGTTTCTCCCGCCTTGAGTTCTACACCAGTGCAACGCTCAGCCACATGAGCTCCTTCAATGTGTTTCCCTCACTAATGTCTTTTGTGTCACTTCTCATACTGGCACACAACCCACTCTTTTTTCTTGGCTCAGTCTTACTTATCAAAAACTGAAACTGGCTTTTCTTTTTCCTGCTGGTTTATGGACACTGAGCCCAGAGATGATAAAAGCCCAATGAATTTATTTTGCCAAATATCAACGTGCAAGACTTTCTAACATCCAAAGCTTACTATGTCTAGGATGTTGTCCTACACACACTAGACTTTAAGGAGATAATATTGAAAAAGAGTGGTAAAAAAAGCTTTGCCCCAAGCTACTACTATAAACTCTATGGGAGCCAACAGTTACCTTAGAGAAGCTGATCCTGCAAATCAGCTATGATACACATGAAAACAAGCTCTCCTATAAGCACGCCCTAGCCAGAAGTATCTGAATGACTGTTTGAATGGAAATAAAACAAAGTGTGAATAATGGCACCTATATCTAAAACCTGTGAGGAGGACAGAAAACAGAAATATTCACAATAGTATAAGACTTATCCTCTCCTTTCCCCTCCTCATTGCTTCTGGCTTTTCTTGATGCTTGGATTCTGTGGCAACCTCGATCCATTCAGTTCTCCATCCTCACTTACTGCTGCCAGTGGGAGGGCAGCAAATGCAACTCTTCAAACTCAATCTATTCTTCAACTTAAAATATGTTCAAGCCCATCCTCTCCCCTACTTTTCCCTCACAAGGACCAGCATCCTTGAGCCTTCCATGCTGCTGCCGACACAGGAGCCCCTGTGTCGCTCTTGCCCTTGACAACCAACTCTCTTCACAGACTAATCTTCAAACATCTTAATGAGTGTGTGACACTTCCCTGATCCAAACCTTTGAGAAGCTTCCGGTTTTGACTTATAACACAGTAGTAGCCAAAACTAAACAGTATAAAGGATACATCACATAAGGATATACGTGAACATTTATTCCTATAACTGTTGGCCACTTCTCACCATGGCCAACCTCTAGTAGTATCTGGAGATATTCTTGGGTATCATAACTTGGGAGAAGAAGTGCAACTGGCAACCCTGAACAGAGACCAGATCTACCGACGAGTGGCTGCCAGGACATCAGAAAGCCATAGGATTGTTCAAATCAACACAAACGCTAACCTTGTGTTGTGTGACCTGAGCTTACTACTCCCTTTGACCTTAACTTGACTCACTTGGCCCCTGGCCTGCTCTCTGTTTCTTGATACAACCGGTTCCTTCTCACTCTGGGGCCTTCATGTGGCAAACTATTATTGAATAAACATTTATTGAAGATTTATTCTGTACTAGGTCTTGTGTTTGATTAAACAATGAGTAAGACAAGTACCAGTTTTTACGGTGGATCCAGGCGACTAGCTGAAGTCTGGGAGGCAAAGAAGAGACCTAAAATACATCCAGGATACCGGGCACTAAGTAAGATGGTTCAGCTCAAACTTCCATGCTTCTTTCAGGGAAGAGACAAGATATTAAAACAGTTTTCCCTTCAGCATCCAGCACAAATGTTCAGTATCTAAGAAGCAATCTAAAACTGTCCATGACTTCATGACCCAAACGATATCCCATCATCTGAAACTGCAAAGTGTTTTAAGCACAAAAAACAGAAACCGTCTCTTTGAAACAGCACATCTCCTTGCTAATTCAGAACAAAAGTAATTTAGGACTAAGTTGAAAATGGAATTATACAAGAGAAGCCTCATGTTTATATTCACTACAAAGATGATAAGAAAGGAGGAGTTGGGAGCCTTGCACAGACACTGAGTAAACGTTCATCATGCATGCTATGAGCCTCCAGGACCTGAGTCACTAAGGACATTCCTCCAAAAGGTCTCAGTGGGATGAGAGGGCTCAGATCCGTGTGCAAAATTAAACTGGACTCTAAACAGAAATTCACGTGAGTTTGGAAAAGATACTAAAAGAACTGAGGATGAAGCGTTTGCATGTGTCTCATCTAAATATGGCTTTCACCACATAAGCAGCCATGGATGAGGGTGTGGGGATGAGTTCGCACATTCTTCATCTATCATCTCTCTCACAGGGTCATAAACCCAAGAACCATGTGACCAACATAATAAAGCATTTTGGTCACGTGTTTATCGGGGCTACCATGGAATTGGCGTGGACCACATAAGATATGGAGAGAAGAATAAACCACGGGGCTTACTTTAAAAACATTTTGGCTGAGGACTAGAGGTGAAGTAATTACACAAAGACTGTAGGAGCTATCATGTGACCAGTAGCACAGAATAAGATAAATCACTAGGAAAAAGCAAAAAGCAAAGGCAATAAATTACATTCGGGGTGAACGCAGGTGATGCCGGGCTATATTTAGAAACGCTTAAAGGATGGAGAAGCTTTTGGTGAATAGCCATGACTGAGGAGTGAGGAGTGGATCTTCTCGGTCACAGTGCCACAGAACTGTGAGAAGCAAGAAACCAAAAGGCCACTTAAGCAAGGCATTTTTTTTGGCACTTCGAGACCAAGTGTTTTAAATCCAGGTTGCAGTGCTTTCACAAGGTTCTCTAAATGTCAAGGTGGGAGAAACAGACTGTTAGGATGCCAATGTTGAGATGGCCTAGGTGCTTTAGATATAGGACCAATATGTAAGAACAATGCCTTCAAAACAAAAAATGATGCAGTTTAAGTAAAACTAAGGAAATTGGTTATTATGCTTGACTGGCTAAACTATGACAAAAATCTAGATTGAAATAAGAGCACTAGGTCCGAGATTATGATAATGGGGCAGAAATGAAGAATATAGAGCAAGGTAGGATTCAGGAGTTTTTTTTTTTTTAATTAAAAACAAACAGCAAAAGTATATTTAAATTAAACGTTCCATCACAAGGTATGTCATAGGGAATTGATGGCCAGGATTATCTGATGTCTATCTCTACGTATCTGTCCTGGATGATTGGTGCCTCCTACACTTGACTCTCCAAGCCACTGCTTTAGGAGGGACACCTCTGGCTTTGCAGTCTGAAGCTGGCTCTGCTCAAGCCTCTGACAATGACCTTGGAGAAGTGCTTGACCTTGATGAGTCTGGTTTGCTTTTAAGTACTGTGCTGGTAGCATAAAGTACGTAACTAACTAAAATGGCCCCGTAAAGCCAAGAGTCTTGGTACTACTCTATCATTGTGGGGGTGATTCAGCAAGATGGAAAGGTGAATGCCATCCCAGCAGAGCAGACAGCCCACTTGACACATAGCCAGAGCAAATGCCACCCCAAGCATGCTGCTTTCAACATGGTAGTGCCTCCATCTCTGACTCAGGTTTCTCTCTTGAACCAAGCTCAGAGTGTGTAGTGTCTTCTATGATATTGGGCGGAATCATGCATTTGTATATTACACAGCTCGCCCTAGCAAAATGAGAACAAAACAATTTAGAGAGCCTTTGGTGCATGAAGAAATGCCCTTTGGTGGCATTAGATTTGTGACAAATGACTGGCATGTTACCATCATTATGAAAAGGAATAGTTTCATATAAACAATTTGAAAATGGACAGAAGCTCATTTTTGTGCATCCACTTCTCATTTTCAGGGCGAAGGCTAACGCTCAATTTTCTAATGTTTCCTACAAGGCATAGGGGAAATAAAATGCTTCTCTATTTTATTATCAACCCAAAATATATTTAATCCTAAATTTGGAATTTGTCAGTAAGAAAATTTGAGAAGCATTAAAAGAATAGAAACTCGCCTCCAAACACACACAGCAAATTTTTGCCAGCAACAGATTAAGAATCAATATTTTCAGATTAAAAAAAGGCATTAGTCAAAATCTATGTTTAGCCTTCCCATAAACTAAACCAACACTCAGACCCCTCCTAATACTAAACAGAGCCAATGGGGAGCCTCATCTCTCTTAGTCTTGCCAATGAGTATAATATCATATGAAAAAGAATCTTGAAGGACATTCTTAAGCATAAACCTGCAATTGGCTTTGTGACTGCAATTCACATTACCTGTGTGGCTTGGAAATGCCCAAGCTAAAAATAGAGTTTAACGTGGCTGTGCCTCTATTCTTTGCCCCACCCCATTCCTCTCCCGCATGTGTATATGTATGTATTTATTGAGGGATGAATGGACAGAGAGAGAATGGATGGATCATGTGTGCCTCCTGTTTTTGTTTTTAATGTGGTGTGTGAATGTATGTGCACCTTGTGTGTGTAACGATGCTCGTGCAAGCCAGAGAGAACAACCTCAGGTGTCATTGTACCTACTTGGTTTTATGAGACAGTCTATTGCTTGCCTAAACTCACACAAGAATAGGTTGGCTTCTTAACACTCCCCAGGGATCAGCTGTCCCTGCTTCTACAGTCCTGAGGCTGTAAACACCACTATGCCTTTTTCATGTGTGTTCTGGGAATTGGCCTCAGGCCCACATTTTTGAATGGCAAGCAGTCCAATATAATAAACTTTGTAGAGTCTATTTCATAATTAAAGGTGGATTCCTTCCACTGTCCTGAGAACGAGTGACTATGACTTGTTGAACTACTTAATTATGGTCAAGAGAGGAAACAAAGCTAAGAGTTTTGTGTAACCAGGAAACTGTTTTTCCACCTTCTCCTTCTTATGGAAATCAGATGCCATGGAACAAGTGCAAGCAACAGTTAGCATGCCATGAGAAGCTCGACCCCATAGCAAAGCCCTGGGAGGTAAGAAGCCATGTGGTAAGGTGGGGTGGTATTGAGAGACACATACACCCCACATGTGAAAAGGGACATGAGCATGCTGCCTGGAGGAAAGGACAGAGAGAAGGCAGACGACTCACGGAAAAGCAACATGTTAAACACACGAGTCAAGCACACCAGTGAGGAAGCAACCATGACAGTCAGCCCAGCTGGGATTTTAGGTGATGCCATCCGGTACTATTTAACTCCAAATCCAAACAGACCTCAAGTAAGAACTGCCCTGCAGAACCAGTGAGCCCACAGAACAAGCACTAATAACTGTTCATTTCTGTTGTTTTAAGCCACTGCGGTGTTGGATGGCCTGTTAATGGCAAAATGATGCTGTAGAAAGAGCAAGAAACAACCTTATTGTCCTGGACAAATTTCAAAGGAAAGGAAAACAGAGGACTGGAGGAAGAAAATCTGTAGGCTAAAAGTTTATAAATATTTAAAAATGGCAAGTGTTCAAATGCTGTTTGGATCTCAGTTTAGACAAATAAGCGGGATGTTCAAAGTCTATTATATTGCGCTGGTAAAATGCTTGTCATGCAAAAATGGGGACCTGAGTCCGGTCCACAGAACACACATGAAAAAGAAAAGGCATGGTGGTACGTGCTTATCATGTGATTACAATCTCAGGATTGTGGAAGCAGGGACAGTTAATCCCTGGGGAGTGTTAAGAAGCCAATCTATCCTTGTTGGGTGAGTTCAGGCTCTGTCTCACAAAACCAAGTGGGTATAGTGACACCTAAGGTTGCTCTCTCTGGCTTGCACGAGTATCCTTACACACACAAGGTGCACATACATTTCACACTCAACATGTGATACATATACAATCATTTTAATGTAAGTTTCAATAGTTCCCCTAATGATTATCCAAAATCAGTGCATTGTTTTGTATCAGTGACCACTTCAAGTTTCTGTTCTGTTTTCTGACTTTCAGCATTCATCGGGAGTATGCGTCGGTAATCTTCAGGCTTCCTTAACTTCTCTTCTACTGAAATACAACCCTGTCCTCATTCTATCTCTCCAAATCACTGAATACACTGGGAAATCACTGCATCCTGTGTCTCCTTCTCTCCTCATAGGATTTCAGCAACTGTCCAGGATGCTTTCCTCCTGAACACCCTCTGTACCAATGAAGTGAACAACCATGCAGAGGCTCTCAACACCCTAGATTCCTTACCCTGCTTCCCAGCAACTTCAAGAAAAAGCCACATTACTGTGCACCGGCCATGACTGCTGTCTTTCTCCAAAAACCTTCGAAACTGAACCATCTCTTTAATGAAAGCTTTAGTTCTGTTCTTTTCCTAATTTTAGGAGTAGATGATTTACGTTTTCCTCACCATAACCCACATTTCTAATGGGATGATTTGTCATCTTTCTTCATCTGCCTGGTATGTCTCTACAGTCAAAGGCTTTACTTTCCCTGACTCTTCCTTCTGCCATTCCTTTGCTGAATACTTTCTGAGCGACGCACATACCTATTTCTAGGTATTATTTTAACGCATTTCACACGTCTCTTATCTGGTGATTATGAAAAGGTGATGAGTTGATATGTAATGTAAAGTGCTTAGAAAACAACCTGATGTATGTAAGTGTCCGTAAATTTTTAGCACTTTTTATTGTCCTTATTCATCTCTCATGCCCTACATGGTGTTTTTGAAATCATTTGTGACCTAAACCTAAAATATCACTAGATATGGAGAAAACATGTATAATGTGTTAACCATATAGGCAGTCTCTTGAAAAATACCATCTGCCACTAAACCATTTTCTTTAGGTTCATGACAATGCCACTAAACCAGTGTTTGCAAAACTTAAAATATAAAAATAAAACCCTTTCTTCATACTTTATGATACGTACTATCCTGAGACAAATATTTTAAGGAAATGGTGGAATTATTACTAAGACACAAACTTGCAACTGGTGAGTCTTTACTCATTCCCAGCACTGAGAATTGATGTGATTAAGGACATAGAAATGGCCATGACTCTGACCTGAGCTGGCCATCATACACCATACACATGCAAGTATCACATTAACTGTATAATCAGGTGCAATCCACTCTTGTGTACAGTAGCAGGGTTGGAATCAGGGCCTTGCAATGCAGATGAACACTCTATCACCTCACTACCCACTTCCCAGCCTCTTAAAACTATCTAGAATGGAAAAAAAAATCTGACTTTATTTAACAGAGAACAGGTACTTTAATGAAATCTTTGGTCACCATGTCTTCATGAAGGATGGTTGCCACATTCAAATCCAAAGTAGGAAGACTGCTTCACACACCCATTTCTGGATACTGATACAGATACAAGGTGAAACCGTTTCCTCACATTTAAGAGAGTTCATCCTGAGACGTTGCTCTGAGGATCTTACGGTGACACTAGGGTGACTTTGCATTAGATTACATCTCTCAATAAGGCTCATTTGCTCTTACATTGATAGATATTACCAAGAACTAAGAACACTGTAGGAGGCAATGACAAGCATTCTCACGGGCACTTACCTTGAGCTTATGTTCTTTCCTGTTCACAATCACAGCCGTGATTTGCTGGTCCATGAAAATCAGAATGGTGACTAACAAGGCCGGGATAGCAGCTGCAAGGCACACCCACCAGGGGTTTCCTCCAAACGGTGGGACAAACCAACCCCGGTTAGGACTTGTTGGCTTAAAGCAAAGAAATAAACTTTTTCAGAACAGTGTTAATATATGCTACATGGTTTAAAATTTTCACCTTTTGGAAAGTTAACTTTTTTTTTTAAACAAAAGTAGAAACAATTTTAATCTGGAGAAAAACTATTTAACAGAAGCCTTCCAAAAAGATATTATTTTTGATGTAATTGTTAAAGAAAAGAAGATGCAAAATGTAGGCTATTGAAAACACAGGGGGTAATGTTTTGAATACATGAAATTATTTGAGGTAAGGTATCAGATAGAAAACAGAAAAATATTAACATTAAGGTACACAGAAATAAACCTCAAATGCGACATTTTAAGAAGAGGTAGCAAAAAAAAAAATTACAAAGCCACCACAGATTTTGTTTGAATTTTAGTAGTTCACAATAGTTGTTTCTACTCCTGGCAAATAAATGGCTTCATGACACATAAAAATCGATTTTATATGTTATACCTGGACTAAGTACTCAGATCTCTTACTTCACATAGAAAAATTTTCCAGAAGTCATTAAATGCCCAGAACTGTCAGAAAATCAGAAAAGTTCTCATTCTCCAACTGTCAGGAGATCATACATGTCTATTACAGAAAGAGAGTGTTCTATGTTATTTCTTACCTTTATAAAAAGCAAATATAGTATTATTTATGAGTTTCTTCCTCCGTGGTTTTGTTTGTTTGTTGTGTTTTTGTTTGTTTGTTTGTTTTTAGGGGACAGGATCTTATTCTATAGCTTAGGCTGGCCTCAAATTCCCTATGTAACCCAGACTGGCTTTGAATTTGTAGAAATTCTCCCCCATCAGTCTCCTGAGTGCTAGGTTGATAGGCATAAGCCACAAACCCTGGACGTATGTTCCCACTCAGTTTGCTCAAAACTCCATCAGGGAAACAAAACCCATCCTCATATTACCTGCATCACACACTGTGAATTTGTAAGGCAAAACATTTAGTCTTGCTCATTAAAACACTTCAACCCCCACCTCATAGGATGAAGACTGCCTCCAAGCAAACATTTAGAAAAAATAATGATTTAAATGGATTAGAGATCAAATCAACAAGAATTTACCTTTGTTAACGAATATGATAATATGCCAGAGATATTCTTTACTGTCACATATGTGCACGTGTGCATGCAAATCCCTCTCAGCTTCATGACACTGAAATCAGCTTAATAGTGTTTGACATTATTATCTCAATAGTGGAGAGAACAGAGTAAGGATTTCTCTAGGAAAAATCTACATAAATATATAACTACAAATGAATGACATGTAAGTTTTATACATTACACCTATATATACAGAAAGTTACAGAATTCTTTTGTTCTCTTTGAACAGTTAGGCATCATAAGTGTTCCTGGCAGGTAATTTGGTAGGAGGGAAAGACCGCTAAGTTAAAACCTGAAAGCTTGAATTCTAACTTCACTGCCTGCCACCACTAGTTAAGAAGTAGTAGACCTTGTGCCTAGCTTTTGTGAACATTAGTGGATTATAAAACAAACGATAATAGGTACGTGTGGACTTCTCTGAACTACTGTATGAATCAGGCCGATTAGGTCTATAAGATTGTCTAAAATATTTTAAGGTAGATAAGGCAGACTTTATTAATACTATATGCTATTTGAAAATGAAAGTCAATAAAACCCAAATCCTAAATTTGATCCTAACTGTGGCATTTAATTTTAGTGAAGAAATGAGACTAACTGTAAATGAGCCTTACAGGAAATTACTTTGAGGGGAAAATGGGTAATTACCCAAACCTGACTAAAGATTCAGAATAAACCACAATAAAGGAAAAGAAAGAAAGACAGTGTTTGAGCAACAAGCAAAAGAGACACTCGCTCACCTTGAACTCACTTGGCACAATTAGCTTCGGAGTGTCCACACCAACTAGGGCATCTATTACACAGAATATGAGAATTGACAGGATAATGGCAAAATCACTGATCAGTTTTCTTGCCTGAAAAAGTAAAAAGAAAAGAAAGGACTATTTAGTACCATAAATATGTGCTGGTGCCTATAATTGAAGTGAAAAAGAATTGGATGTTTATTAAGAATTTATCAACAAATATCCTCTGGCCGGATACTGGAGAGATCACTAAGTCAGCATATATCCTTAGTCCTATTGCAACATAAAAGGTATTTGGATAAGAATAAAATCTAAGTACACATTACACATGGAAATAGAACTCAGTTTATCCAGAAAGTAGCACTGTAAGTAATAAATAAAACAGTAGTGTCTTAGTCACTGTCCTATTGCTGTTAAGAAATACCACGATCAAGACAACTATTGTAAAAAGAAAGCATTTAACTGGGGGCTTACTTATTGTTTCAGAGGTTAGTCCATTATTATCATAGTGATACAAAGACAGACGTGGTGATGGAGAAGGAGCTGAGAGCTCTATATCCTGATCTCTAGGCAGAGAAAAGAGCCTGTGCCTGGCATGGGCTTTTGAAATCTCAAAGCCCACCCCCAGTGATACACTTTCTCCAATAATGCCACACCTCTTCCTACAAGGCCACACCTCCAATAAGGCTACACCTCCTAATCCTTGTAATCTTTTCAAACAGTTCCCTTTCCTGGTGACTAAGCATTCAGAAATACGAACTTATGGGAGACCATTCTTATTTGAAGAATCACAAATGGGAATCCCATGAAGTAGCCTGAGGATGATATAAATCTATCAGGAGAAGATTCTAAGTCCCGGGCCGTTGATCAATGTCAGTATCAAGATCCATAGTAAAGTCCAGAAATGGTAGATAGAAACTAAAGGCTGCCCAAACTTTATCTAAGAAACAATCCCTTACTACGTTAGTATTGGAACATTCCTTGATGTAGAAATCTCTTCATTGCTAAAGTGTGATCAACATTATTTGGGCATCCAAGATCCTAAGTGCTTTCTCTGCTCAGGACAAGGTCTGAGCATTAAATCCTGTGCTTTCTCGTGAAGAGGTGCAGAATAGCTATTCAAAGTCATTAAGAGGAGCACAAGAATTTTTGGTTGTAATAGGGATTCTCTGTAGTTACTAGAGACACTACTCAGTGCCTAATTACTTAACTAGAGCAGATACCTGAGCTCATAGAAGGGATGACAGAAGTGTCTCACTGGATTGTTCATTAAGAGCTATTTAGTTACTAATATTTTGTTTTGTGATAAGAACATCTTAGTGAGTAAAAGAGTTATAATCCATATCTTCATGAAGGCCTAAGCCCTGTTTCAGCCAAGAATGATTTCTCCTAGGTCAAATCAGGGTAGATTCCAACATCAATCTCTCTCAAGGAGAATGGTTAGTTTTCTGATGCTGCTGGATGAAAAAGGTGGGCTAAGGAAGTACGTGGTTTAAGATAAATAGGTTCCAGGAAGTGAACTTATCTTCATGTGTTCAGTAGGAGCTAAAGCAAGGAATGGACATTACATGACACTGCACCATGCTCTAAGGAGCTCAGGGATTCATTTTTGGATTGTACCAGGTGTCAGGAACTATAAGAATTCTTTGCCTTCCAAAGGACCAGACTCGGTTAGCTCTAGTTTGCTTAAGAAGAACATGCCACGGAAGAGGAGACTAGCTATCTGAAATGAGTTCACTTTAGTTACACACAACAATGTCAAAAGCAAACAGATGACAGGAATCACATAAAGAAAATATAGGACAACAGTTATGATCACAGTTGATATAGGCAGATGATATTAACTGGACTTTCACTCTCATCATTCGCAATACAGATGCAAAGCCTTGATTAGCTTCAATTGCTTCATCTGCAAAAGAGAGTGAGAAAAATACCAGCAACTTCACATTGGTTTTCTTTATCAGAATTAAATATGATTAACCATGAGAGTACTCAACATAATATCCGGATAAATTAGTGTTGTTATTTTCTGTTCCAGGAGGCCTCTTGACTGCAACGACCACTCAAATAATTAGATTATCTATTGCCAGGAAGTCTCTGAGATGGATCTTTAATTCTAAGAACCAAAATCATTAAAGTCCAGCAATCCTATGGAACTGCTATGCAGTGACTATTTTGATTGGAAATCCCTAGAATTGATGCTTCTAAGGTCCTAAGTTCTGGATGAAACTTATTTCTCAAGTTTTATGCAAGTAGTGCCGACAATAACAGGGATAGCCTGGCAAAGGTTGGTGCTAGGAATCAGTTTCAGTGCTATGTTAGGGTGTTACAACCACTTCTATTCTAGGAGGCCACAAATCCCTCTACAACTGGAATTTACTCAAGTCCAGTAGTTCTTCCTAAAATTTATTATTCCCCCAATCCTCAACCACAAGAAAAATCTAGCCAACCAACTCAAATACCCTATAACTCATTCAAAAGAGTGGGAACAGTTATTTTAAAATACAGTTCACTCCTTTTTCTGTCAGAGAGAAGGATGCTAATGCAATTCCGTGGTCCAAGTTCCCCAGACCTATCTGTCCAGTTGTGGAATCCCTCTGCACTGCAGTCACTACTGGCACCTGGCAGAGAAGAGACCGTATCTTGGGTCTATTGAAAGTTGACTACCCTGCCAGTCCAACATGGCGAACTGACTGTCAGCACTAAGTTTACTTGTGGAGCATCTAACTTGGCCCTTGTTGTGTTTTAGATTAGAAATGTTTTCTTCAGGCTTATGTGCTTTCTACCTGCTTTCCAGATGATAATATTGATTGGGGAGATCTGAGGTCTATCTAATAGGGAGTGGAACTCTGAAGTGGCTCACTGGAGTGATAGCTTTGTCCTGATTCTGGATAGTTGTTAGTTGGAGAGGCACAACCTCATGGTCTTGCAGCAAGAGACATCGATGGCCCAGCAGCCATGCCTTCCCAGTTGTGAGGGACTGTGCCTGAACCATGACAGAACAAACCCATTCTCCATGAAAGTCCAATAAAAGTGACCAATATGAGCCATGTGGGCCTGTATGCTCTGGGAGCGAGATCAAGGCACAAGATGGAAACTACCATAAGAAGAACATCCCCTCTAAAATGCTTAGAAACCATTCAGTGTCTTACTATATGAAAGATATGATTTGTCATAACAAATTAGATCTATATTTTTTTTTTTTTTTTTTTGTTTGTTTGTTTTTTTTTTTGTTTTTCGAGACAGGGTTTCTCTTTATAGTCCGGGCTGTCCTGGAACTCACTCTGTAGACCAGGCTGGCCTCGAACTCAGAAATCCGCCTGCCTCTGCCTCCCAAGTGCTGGGATTAAAGGCATGCGCCACCACCGCCCGGCTAGATCTATATTTTAAATATGAAATATACAATATTTTCTAAAACTTGTTGAACTATGAAACTATGATTACTTTCTTCCTCTCTTCTTCTTTCCTTCCCTTCCTCCCTTCTTTCATTTTCTTCTGAGACAGAGTCTTTCCACATAGCCCTGGCTCTCCTGAAACTCACTATATAGACCAGGGTCGCTTCAAACTCACTGAGATCCACCTGCCTCTGACTCCCAGTGCTGGAATTAAAGGCATGCACCACCACACCTAGCTAAATAACTCAATTTAAAATATGTCTCTACCCTCAAAAAACCCCTTGCAAATACAATTTCAAATCCAATCCAGTATTGTCTTCCACTTGGTCTATTGGATGTTATTTCAATGGTGTTGCCATTTTTTCAAATAATTTTAAGATACCTTTTATGATTTTTATTATTAAATGAATGAATATTATTTTTATGATTTTTATTATTAAATGAATGAATGCTGGATTACACATATTAACCATCACACATTTGTCTGAAATATCCACAATTCTTCCTTATTTAAATGTATTCAATTTAATGTTAACCACTTCAAAAAGTGATATGGTCCTTGTATAATATTTAGAAAAAAGAATTTTAAAAGTATTTCTTAATTCCTCTTCATAGAAATAAACCCTAATATCTGAAATATATGAGAACATATACTTCTGTTGTATATAAGGTTATTCACAGGTATGTGGACATACAACCTTTGATATTTTGGTGGTTTTGTTTGTTTCTTTTGTTGTTTTGAAATAAGATCTCCCTTTGAGGTTCCAGGTTAGCCTCAAAGACAAGATCAGCATCAGCCTTGCAAATGCTAGAATTAGAGCCATGAGCCTCTACTTTTGGCTCACATTCTGTTTTGTTTTTTGTTTTTTGTTTTTTTTGGTTTTTCGAGACAGGGTTTCTCTGTGTAGCCCGGGCTGTCCTGGAACTCACTCTGTAGACCAGGCTGGCCTCGAACTCAGAAATCCTCCTGCCTCTGCCTCCCAAGTGCTGGGATTAAAGGCGTGCGCCACCACCGCCCGGCCCTCACATTCTGTTTTGTATGCCTCTTTCACAGTTTTTCCTCTTTCCTTTGATGTTTTCTGTAACAACAGCCTTAATAATGTAAAAGTATTATGCTGAACGGATATACAAAGATCATTTTTTCCTAATATCCTTGTATTTAGATTGCTCCCAACTTTTCGAGATGATGAAAAAATATCATAAAGAAATATTTGCAAACACTTGGGGCTATTTATTTGGAATAAATTACTATGAGCAGAATTGTCCTGTCGATGTGTATATAAAAATTTAAGGCTTTAGGGTTATAATGCCAAATTACCATCCAGAATGTAATATTGATTTGCCAATTTCAGTCTACCTACCATACAAATGATTCTGGGTAATATAGAAGACCAAGCCCATACTCAAAGGGAAAACAATTTGCTGCCATTGACAATATTCAAAAGAATATAAACTAGCCAAATCTCCTAAAACTGTCCTTTTGTGTGGCTTAGCAAACTACTGCATTTCCTGTTCCCTTATGATTCTTATAGTTCACACAGTTTGTATATAAATACAATGCCCTTTAAAAATGACATTAATATGTATTCTCTGAAGTATCTCATTCAATGGTATAAAGCCAACACTACATGGACAGAAAGCAAAAACAGAATTCTAAGTGATTTGGAGCCTTCTTCCAAGAGCAGAATGCTTGCACAGGAAACAGCCCAGACAACC